CTGAGTGAACGAGTGCAAAAGCATCAATATCTCTTGCAACTCGACTCTACTATACATAATGGAGGTTAGAGCAAAGGTTTGAGAGTTAAAAATCTCAAAGCACCTCAAGATGAGACTAAGTTGAACATTGAAGCAATGAAAGGAGCCACCGACACATATAGGTGGGGTAGATGGCTAAAAGGAGATTAAATGAGGGACTGTAGGGATGAGAGTCATAGGTATGCGTGGCTAGAGAGGAAAAGAAAGCTGGAAGAAAGAGAGGAGAGCAGAGCCCGCTGCTAGGTGCAGCCTTGAGCCTGTGCATGAGGAAAGAGGGAAGAAGATAGAGAAAGAAGGAAAAGAAAGAAGGGCAAAGAGGAGGAGAGGAGAGAGAATGAACTTAGGTGGTGTTCTAGCCTAGGTACACCCCCATGAGTCTTCTTGCATACACATGAGAGAGAGAGAGGGGTTAGGCTTGGGTCAAGACTAAGGTGTATGGTGTATGGTTTAGGGGAATGGACTAGGGTGTATGGCTTAGGGAAGGATCATGGTATATGGTGTAGGAGGACTATGGTGTATGGCATATGGTTTAGGAAGTGGACCCGGGTGTAGGGTAACCTAGGGGTATTTTCTTTCTCTACCAAAAGTTTCTCCATCCTATCAACTTAATCTTCAACTTGGAAGCAAAGGAAAAGAATAATCTAGGAATTCACTTCAAGATGCTTAAGTTTCATAAAATGATCAAGCCCCACAAAACAAGGTTGGATTTCTAAAAAGTACCCAAGATTTTCAAAAATTACGTACTAAAGGAATTAAACGAATAATCCCGTTTTTGGACAAAATGACCAAAATACCCCTTAGTATGTTTCAATAAATGACAAAACCATCCCTCCATGAGGGGCCTCTTGTCATAGCTAGACTTTAGGAGCTTTGCCAAATGCTTGGGATGGTAATTTGGGCGATCAATCATCATAGAATTGATGCTTGATCAATCACGAACGTTTTGATACCCTTTGATCGCCTTGAAACAAATTTGTAGGAAGAACCAAATATCCGGACAAGTCCATAAACTTTACAATTCTTTGACCACTAATCTAGAATCATCCATGACATTCTGATTCTTCATTTCGATCACAAATTGAAAAGGACATTGTCACGATCATTTTGCAACAAATTCCGTCCAATTTGGTTTCCATTTAAGCATATTCCAAATTTAAGAAGTCGTCGGAAAATGGGATTCCAGCAACTAGAAAATCTTGTCTCTTTTCAACCTCCAAATTCATTCCATCCGGCCTCCGTTATGTGTGAAAACTATATCAAACTGTAACTCTTAATGTTACGGTCGCAGCGGGCCCATTTTTATGATAATCTGACATCGGGATCTAGAGTTATGACCTCACGAAGTATGGGATGTTCTCTTGTTAAAATATGAATTTTCATACTTTTAAGCTCATCTTCTCTCTTGAAATTCTCTCTTTTTGGGCCATGTCATGGCGAGTGCCATATGTCAAAACGATCATATCATCAAGACCTAGCTTAATTGTATTAAAACAAGCAAGTTATGAGCATTTGAAAATCATCCCAAAATGGGATAACATAGTTTCCATAAACGGTAACTTTTTTATGGAAACTGGTTCACCGAGGCTGCACCGCAATAGTGTAAAACCCAACCTCTTATGCTAAGTAAGGCCCATAATGGTCATGAAAGGTCCGATTGAGCCCAAATTTGGTCCCAAGGGTTTTTTGAAAATTTTGGATCTGGTGGAGATAGTCTATTATTGTTTTGAGACCCAGAGAAAATAGTTATAGTTAGAGGGTCTATTTTCAGCATGATAGGAACTGGATTCGAGAACCAAGGTTCGTCCTGATCATAGTAAAACTTGTCAAAATACGACGAAACTTTGTGAGTATCCTTCGAGTATCCCAAACTACCATTCAATGCAATTTTAAGTCATTTCAACACTTCTTTCGAGGTTGCCCAGTTTTAGGCTTATTGTTGAAGTGTTCTCTGTGTCAGGTGGTGTCTTCGATACCGGTAGGACCAGGTTACTATTGACTCTCTCTTTATGCATCTCAGGGATTCAAGTACATTAAAAATGATGTACAACAACTTTTCCCGCCGAATGCTGCTCTTCGAGAGAAGTGAGAAGTGTAGCTTTCGGAACAAAAACTTTTCGTCGAAGTTCATCTTTTGAATCCTAACTAAGACGCCTTTATTGCCTCTCAACAGTCTTTTCTTCTCAATTACTGGCATCAACATGATCCTTGAGGAGGGGACCATGCCAAGATTCTTCCTGAAGGGGTGATTGGAGTGGACTCTAGCGATTGGGGGCCTTATTTAAGGACTTCCTTCCCAATGCTACTAAAATCCATTTTTTGGGAGAGTGTGCTAACCGGGTGCCCCATGGAAGGGCTTGCCATTTCGTCTCAACAACACTTCCTAATGAACCAGTTGATGGGTGCCCTTGGTGGGCTTTCTTCCTATCTAGTTGGTAAGGGAAGGGTTGGTTTAATTTTCACCGAGTACCTTCCAATCTTCTCATCTCTGAGTGAGTGCCTTGCTTAAGGGCTTTCTCTCACATCAGCAAACATCTTTATTTGTAACAACTGAGGGTCATTGGTGGACTTTATCCCAGTATGGCTGGAACTTCTTCATGTCTCTGAGTGAGTGCTTTGCTTAAAGGCTTTCTCCCACATCAGTAAACATTTTTATCTACAAAAAATGTGGACCCTTGGTGCACTTTATCCCAGTGTCGCTGGAACTTCTTCTTGCCTCTGAGTGGGTGCCTTTCTTAAGGGATTTCTTCCACATCAGCAGATCTATTCAAGACAACTTAGGGTTCTTGGTGGACATTATCCTAATGTGGCTGAAACTCCTTCTTGTCTCTAAGTAAATGCCTTTCTTAAGGGCTTTCTCCCACATCAGCAGACATCATTATTTGCAACAATTGAGGTCCCTTGGTGTACTTTATCCCAGTGTCTCTAGAACTTCTTCATTCCTCATGAGGGCCTTGCATAAGGGCTTTCTCCCACATCAGCAGATATCTTTATTTGCAACAACTGAGGGCCCTTGGTGGACTTTATCCCAGTGTCACTGGAACTTCTTCTAAGGGCTTTCTCCCACATCAGCAGACATCTTATTTGTAACAGCTGAGGGCACTTGGTGGACTCTAGCCCAGTGTCGTTGGAAGAACTTCTTGTTTCTGAGTGAGTGCCTTACTTAAGGGCTTTCTCCCAAGTCTGTAGACATCTTTATCTGCAACAGCTGAGGGCCTTTGGTGGAATTTATCCGAATGTCACTTGAACTTCTTTTTTAGAAGGGCTGGTTTGACTTTAACCCAGTACCTTCCAGTTAGCTTCTGTAAGTCGTTGAAGTCATCTTCAGTCAAACAGTTGTGTCAACCTGTTTATTAGTTTGAGCGTTCTTTCGGGTTTTCACCTAAACTAAATAGAAGTAGCGCCATAAAATTGGTTTTCACCAACTTCCTCTTTTTCATTGAGGCTCTTTTACCTGTGACTTCTACGTCACGTCCACCTTTTGCTCTACACTCTTTCGGGTTTTCACCATGCCTGGTTTTTTTTTCTTTTGTTTTCAAGACACTCTTACTCATGGCTTCATGGCCATGTTCACCTGTCATTTTAGTCATAGCGCCCTTGTGGGTTTTCACCATGCTCAATTATTTTATTTTTTTGGCAATTTTACCTATAGCTTGCGTGGCTATGTGCGTCTGAAGCTCTCACTTTTACTCGTAATTATCCTCATCGAATGTTCATCATGACCAGCTTCTGTTCCCTATTTTTAGAGAAATCCTTCTTTCTGGACAATGTATAGGATAGAGGGATTGTATCTGCATAAGGCTCACTGGGGTAACAAATACCATGGTGAAGATTTTATTTTGGAAGTAAACCATCTTGGGGATTTTTGGGTCCTTACAAGATAATGCGTGGTTCACACTTGCTAGGTACAGGGGTTTTAGATGGCCCAGTAGCTAGCTGTGGCATGAAAAACTCCATGGGGATAAAAAAATTGTGTTTCTAAGGTAAATAAATGGTTATCTCATTGGGATTGAAGGGATTCCAAGAAATGGTTAAGGCATCTTACGCCACTGAAAGGGGTAATGATTTAATGGGGTGGTGATTTGCCATTAGAATAATGGTCAATGGAGGAATGGACCATGAGAATGAGGTCTATTAACATTAGTGGTCCACTGGGAAATATGTATCATCAAGGTTATTACTTGCTAAAAGCAGTGATTGACTGGGGATGTTGGTCGATTGGTGTTGATAGACCATTGGTGGTAGTGAATGCTTGGGATTATTGGTCCATTGCGGTCGATGGGCTAGTGGTGGGCAGTAATCCGCTATGGATAATGAACCATTTGGGGCTAATGATCCATTGAAAATTTATAGTTCATTGGTAATAGTGACCCGTTGGGGATGGTGAACTATCAGGCTTTGGTGGTCCATTGGAAGTAGTGACCCACTAGGGGTGATTGCTCATCACTGTAGATTGCAAACCAAGGGAGTGTCAAACCTCTCGGGTGATGAGTCATTAATGTTGATGGTCAGTTGGGCCATTACTCATGGGATCTCATGAGGATTTAATGGGTAAGATATGCTTCATGGGAGTAATGGAGTATTGCACTGAAAGCCCAAATGAACAAAGATTTAAGATGGGGTGGTTGAGTCTCCCATGGCTTTTGTTAGTCACTGAGGACCAAGGGTAGGATCCAGCTGAAGGTTAGGTTCCTAAGAGGACAAGGATCGTCTTTAAGGTCCCTTGAAGCTTATCAGGCTAATCCAGGGTTATACTGGATTAACAGGCTCATGGCTTGAAATGAGAGGGTTTGGAGAAAAGAAGCTATTGAGCTCAGTTTGGGCTTCTCTTTAGCCAAACGTTGCCCATTGACGGGCTAGTGTGTGTACAAGAAGAATAGCTCATTTGTCCACCAGGTGTTATTGTGCACAAGTGCGTGCTAAGCCAGGGGCTTGTGTGGGTCCGCAAAGAGCTTTCGAAGGGTGAAGGAAGAGACACCCTTGTGCTTAAAACTCGTGCTTGAACCTTCAAACGAGAGGCGAGATTTTTGTGAGTTTATAAAGGAGTGGACCCGCACCTAGTTGCGGACCAAGAATACTCAAGAGGAATGGGCCCACCTTCGGCGCGGCCCGAACATTTAACAAGCGAGAGAGAGATGAGATAAATTTGATAGGCCTGATGGACCCATGCTTAAGCGCAGGCCTAGAGTTTGTCACAAATAGAGAGAGAGAGAGAGCGAGATGGAAAGGTTATGACAAGGTCGCACCTAGGAGCGTGCCTGGGAGCTTGTGACGAATTGAGAGAGAGATAGAAAGGTTTTGACGGGGCTGTGCCTAGGCGTGTACCTGGGAACTTGTGACGAATCGAGAGAGAGAGATATGGAAAGGTTTTGATGGGGACGAGCCTAGGCACATGCCCAAAGAGGTTATAGTGTATAAGAGAGAGAGAGGGGGGGTTTTCATCCCCCAAAGTGAATTGGGTTTTTAGTTTTTACTTCTCCTCTTTCACCACCCCCACCTTTCTTCACTTTTTGAGAGAGAGAAAAAGGTGTTTCGAAACCATGGCTAGCACTAGCTCCTCCCAACCTCAAGGTATGGTCTCCTTTTCATTTCTTTGCTTTTCCATATATTTTTTCATGGTTATTTGTTTTCCATCTTTCTTTTGCTTTTCCAATACACATCATGTGTTTGATCAAATGCCTCAATGCCTCTTTTTGGTACAATTGTGGTGCCTTTGGCTTTCTTAAGCATTCTTTGCCGCATGTTACCTCTTTCTGCACCATTTCAATCCTTTCTTGATGCCTTTTGTATTGACTATTTTGCATTGATCATGAGCATCATGCCTAGGTGCATTGCTCATGCGTATGCGCCATGAGCACTTAGGCGAGTTCAATCATACTCAGGTGACCTCGTGCGTGTTTATGCCTTATATGCACTTCATCCTTGTCTTGATGGCATGAGTCTTTGGGGCTCTTATGCATCCATTTTTCATATCACTGTCATTCTTTTTTAACATACTTGGGCACTACAAATGCAACCCAGTACTTTACATTTTAGCACCAAAAAAAAAAAACAAAGCACTTTCATGACACCTTCATGCACCATTTGTATTTTCAGCATCCCCACTGTATGGTTAAGCATCCCGTGATGCTTTTGGGCACTGTTATGTATTTGTCTGCATCGTTTGACAGGTCTTGATTATAGTTGGGCATAATTGCACATCATATTGCATCTTTTGAGCATTTTGAAGCATAGCTTATGCAATTTTGGTAACTCATGGGTATTTCTTTGATAGAAAAGGGAGATCTTCATGATCACCTTTTGTCATGGGCATTTGACCCACATACTCATGATTTCTTAGAATATCTCGGGTGTTTTGGGGCTAGGCAGATACCTTCTTTGTCAACCCTGTGCAAATAGGGGAGATGCGGAAATTTTGCAAAATTCTCAGTGCCTTAGCAATCCATAGACACAAATTGTTAGCTTGTGCTATTGCTCACCCTTTTCTTTATGCTTCGTTTGCAGCAAAAATACTTGATGTGAACCAATTGCCTCGCTCTGGAGAGTTGGGGACCAATACTTATACGGGTGCTGCCTTTACCCGATCTACTACCCTTGGCATTCTTGAAATCACCCAGAAGTTGAAATGGACTTTGCGCATTACCTATGTAGGAGGGGATGCTCAGATCTGCAGATATGAAGATGTCGATGGGGAGCTCATATTTCAAGGGGATAGTGTTCCCATTTATCATACTCTCCATAGATTTTTCACTCCAGTGAGAATCTTCCTACTCTGGGGAAGAGAATGTTAGAGAATCCAGGTCTTCATTGGGTCTCCGGTGGGCTCCGTTTTGAAGGGGAGCACTAGTATATGCGAGGATATAGCACCTGAACATTTAACGTCCGTGATTTGCACGCCAATGTCTTAGAAGTGTGTAGATTGGCTGCAGCATGTCAGTGCTTGGCTGGAGATTATGACCGATTTTCCAATACTAGCATAGCTTTATTGGAAACATGGTGTTACAAGACCAACAACTGGCACTTTGACTATGGTGAAGGAGGAATCACCCTTCTCGACATGTATTCATTTGTGGGTTGCCAATGCTGGGGGGCATGTATGAAGAATTCATACCTAGTAATGAAGTGATTTTTAGAAATCAGCCAATTAATGGTGAATTGCCCCCTCCTTGTCTCCTTGAGTTGTTTGAAATTTACCTACTCTTGCACTCGAAGACCAAGCTCAAATCCAAAGGGGTGCATTGTGATGCTTGGAGAGACGTTTTCCATAGGAATTGCCAAGACTGAGGGGAAATCAGCTCTACTATCATCTGGGCAAAGGGTAGAAGCCGCGAAGGATGCCAAGAGTCCTATAGTCCCCCTCAGAAGATCTGAAAGAGATCATATATATTTGGTTGCTTACTTGGTCCTCTTTTTATGTAAATTTGCATTGCCAAGGTCAAGGAGCAATATCATTCGGCCAGGCTGCTTCTTCGTAGCCTGCAGGCTTGCCCAAGGACGTCAATATGCCCTCGCCCAGCCAGTTCTTTGTAGCATTTACCATGGCTTAGGAGCTATTGCACATGGTAAAGCTCCTTCAAGGGATAGTAAGAGCAAGTCCTTTGCTTGAAAGGCCCTTCCTGGCTATTTCTCAACTGGTTTCCCAGTTCATTGCATTTTCAGCTGGCTCTCTGCATACTTCCCCAAGATAGGAACTGAACCCTACATACCTAGAGCGTATGAGATTAACGAGAGCCTCCAGGGTATGCTTGCCGTCATATGCTAAGAATTGTTGGGATGAAAGCCATCTTTAGGTGGCCAGGGGAACCACGTAGATTCCTGGCAGACATCTCTTTCTTCTCTCGTGGGAGACCCTTTCTTGTAGGCTATCCCACTGATTGTGTCTATACAGAGGCCTTGGTGGTATCTTTGATGGACACACCACTGAAACAAAGGAGATTATGTACCTCTTGAGTGTGAGAGGCTGAATTTTTCCATATAGGGGGGTTGGAGACAGAAAACTTGAAAGTTCGCACACCAGCATGGCTTGGACCAAGGATGCTGCTTCATTGTGCTCTTCGAAAAGAAAAATGGGAAAAAGGGATCACAGCAAGATCTTGAAGCTCCAGGCAAGTCTTGGACTGATAGCAACGTGAGGATGACCTGGGAAACCTGTCTTGGTCCTTTTAGCCTGAGCACATTTGTAGTCCCCCATTATGGTCAGGTAGGTCATGCTACTGAAGGTTACTGGCAGTGGTGGAATGTCATCGACCGCTATTACTGGTGAGCGGACCATACATTGAAGGCTGTCAACAGTACCAAACATGACAGCAGGGTCAGGAGACACTTCGTTCCTCCATCCTTCCCCAGGGTTCACAAGATTGACTACCCCTTGAGCTGGAGGGAACTTGTCAAACCTCAATTTCTGAGCACGGACCTTACTGGCGTTGATTACCTCTCTCTCGAAGGTGAAACCAGGTCTTCATTTGACGACCTTTGTTCCATCTTTCAATGGGTTATTGGTCGTGCAGCCCTTAGTCACGAGGGTCGTCCGATCCAAGTTCCTAATGCTTTAATTAGAAGTGGACCTCACTCTGCCTCCAGCTACTAGACCTCACCATGGCAAGAAGGTCCAAGATACTCCTGAAGTAATCCCAGAGGAAGGGCTAAAGAAGAAAGCGGTCAGGAGAAAGAAGGGTGCAGAGAGTTTTGAACCCAGCACAACTACAAAGCCTAAAATTACCAAGAAGAGTACTCGTCTGAGTAAGAGGGCCTTGACGAGCTCAGATGCACTTCCCTTGACACCAGCTACTTTGAGTAAAGGGATTGGATGTGCCTCTTAGGCCGAGGAAGCATTCAAAGACAAAGGCTTCTCCTATCCCGGTCTTGTCGCCAGAGGTATTGACCCCTATTCAAGAGACAATCCCTGAGACTGTGGTGGTTGAATCGAGTGCATCTGATCATATATCGAAGAGTGCTCCTCTTCCTCCAGTAGAGATAGCGATATCTCCAACTGATAGTCCTGTCGAGCCTGTAACAGTCCAATCTTCGACTCGTTCTTCCTTGAGTCAGGGAGACTTTTTCTGCACCGTCATTGCGGAAGGAGATATCCTTGACATTGAAACCATTAGGGAAGCTCCAGGGGACAAGGGTGGGCATTCCTGAAGTATTTGTCCCCGTCTCCTCGGAAGCAGAACATTAGCGGGCTATTTCTTATGGAACTTCTTTGGAACTCAGGGTGGTTCCTATTTCAGAAGTGTCTGCCTTAGCGACTCTAAATGTAGAGGCTTTATCTGAGCCTATCATTCCTTCAAGTGATCCCTTGGCTCTTGTTTCTCAAGAACCAGTTGCCATTGCTGAAGTTCTTCCTTTTGTTACTATAGGCTCTCCTTATGTGCTTTCCTTGGCATCGATTAGGAAGGCTTTGGTTGTGAGAGACCTGTTACAATCAAGTCTCCAGGGAGTAAAGGAATGCTCCCTCTCTGAACTTGCAGTTGAGATAGGTGTAGTCAGGGACTGCACAGCTACTTTGAGGGTGGTCAACTATGATAAGGAGACCTTTGATCGGTTTGAAGGTCTTCTGAAGGACCTTGAATAATCAGGAGTCGAAGCTTTGTGACGTGAGTCCAAGATACGAGTAGCATATAGGACTCGCCTGGCCTCTGCAGAGGAGACTTTGGCTTAACATCAAAGTCTCATGAGAAATTATGAGGAGAAGGCCCCTCTTCTTTCTTTCCAAGCTAGCTTCAAGGAGGCAGATGCAGCCCGTTCTGCAGAGATAAAGACTGCAGAGGAGGAAAGAGAAAGGTTGGACCTCCATATTCACCAATTGAAGTCTGATCAAACATAAAAGAGAATAGAGGCTCACAGCAAGCTTGAGAAATTGGAGACTCTGAATTCCAAGGTGGCTTCAATCAGCACTACGTCAAACCAAGTTAGGTAGACAATCTCCCACGTCAAAGAGCAGATGTAGATAGCTTCAGAATCTTTGGTGGCACTGAAGATCAAGATTCATGAAGCCCTTGGAAACTTCTAGGGGCTCATGAAATCTTTTATCTTTCTGCTTTTTCTATGTTCTTTTCTTTCTTTTTGTGGGTTTTTGATAACTGTTACTACAAAATTTTGTAACCTCTCTCTTTCTTCTTATCTTTGGCTCGTGTACTTCTCTTGACTTCATGGTTTGCTCTTCTTTGCTTATGGTTTGCTCATTCTTTCCTTTATCTCTCGTGACCAACCCTCGTCTCTTCCATAAAATGATGAGAGATGAGCTTGAAGGTCTGCTTTGCATGAGAGCTGGTTTGCTCTTCATCATGTGCGACTTGAGTACCCTTTCGGGTTTTCATCCAAGTGCCTGGGGTATGTGTCAGCTCTAGTTTTCACAAGAACTCCGTATATATATTTTTAATGCCTATTTTGCCCATGGCTTTTACATCATGTCTACGTTTTTTTTTTTTAACTCACGATGCCCTTACAGGTTTTCATCATTCCCATCTTTTTTTATTTTTGACATATCTTACTCGTAACATTTGATGATACTATTATGCCCATCATTTATTTTTATATTTTTTTTTTTTCTTTGACTCTTTTTACCCATGATTTCTTTGTGGGTTTTCTTCATGTCCGTCTCTTTTGAGGAGGTAGTTTTAAGGTTATGTCGTCGTGACCACGGGGAGGCGTGTTTAAGGTCGTGCCTTCGAGACTATAGAGTTAGTGTAAGGTCCTCAACCAAGATTGAGTAAAGGCAATTTTAAGGTTGCGCCTTTGAGATCATAGAGTGGGTGTGTTTTAAGTTCATCCACCAAGACCGAGTGAATGCAATTTTAAAGTTGTGCCTTCGAGACCGTGTGTGATGCAGTTTAATGTCTTGTCACTAAGACGTGTGTAAGTTTTAGAGTCGTATAGCTTGGACCGTCGCCACGTAGGTCTTATGAAAATTGCGTTCTTTACATTATTTATTATGCAAAGCCGATTGGCAGTCCGCACGAGTAATAAAGGCATTATGAACTATAGCTTAGAGGTCGCGCTAGTTTTTCATTGTTTTAAGCAGAGGTAGGGGTAGGGTTTTCTAGGTTGAGCATGGTTTGCTTTTGGAACCAATTCCCAATTGACGAGAGAAAGAAAGAGGGATTAGAGAAAGCTTTTATTGAGAGAAAGAAAGAGGGATTAGGGAAAGCTTTTATTAAATTTTCCAAAGGTCCTCTTGTTCTTTTCTCTGTAAGCTTTTCCTAAAAGAAGTTCCCTTTTCTATGAAAAAGTAATTTTTACTAAATTTAGGTAGTTTTTTTCACTTCGTTTTAGGTAATTATATTCTAGAACCTTTTTCCAATGAAAAATATAATTTTGTAAAGGAATCTTAGCATCTCTAAGTCGATCCCACCACTAATCATTTGGATGACCCATAACATTCTTAAAATAATACAATCAAAGAACTTTAAAATTTTTAAATTACTTGTAAGTGATGAAGAGAGGAATGAATAGAACTGTTCCTTTATAGGTAGTGGGGGATACAAATCTCTCTAAGATATATTACTTTAAGAAAAAATCAATCATTGGCCATCTATACTTTTTTCTCCTAATAATAAAACAACATTACCAATTGGGAGGATCAAGTCCGCTCATTGCAAACTTAATAAATAGGTAAAATTATGGGTAGTTCCAAAATTAACTTTCTAGACATTCTACCCTTAATACGTTTTATATCACATAGTAGATTTTAACATTAATTTTTTTGTATTTACCCCCAGTCAAAATCAAAAATTTTAAAATAAAAATACCAATTTTCTCTCTCTTCCCATATATCTTTGCAGTCACCCTCTTTTTCTCGCTCTACCTACCCTATCTCTCACTTTCTCTCTCTACCTCTCTAACCACCCTCTCTCTCTTTCTCTCTGTACCTACGTTCTCTCTTTCCCTTTCTGCCTGCCCTCTCTTTCTCCCTCTATCTACCCGCCATCTCTCTCTCTCCACCTGCCCTCTCTCTACTCGCCTTCTCTCTCTCTTTCTTTCTCTTCCCACCCTCTCTCTCTTTCACTCTCTATCTCTAGATTAAATTATTTTACCAAATTTATTTGGGGTCTAACATATTTTTGTGTCAAACAGTAAAACAAATTTGGTTTAGCACCTAGTGTGCTAGATCGCAATATAGGAATCTTCTGTAATTCTAAACGGTATGCATGATAGGCACAATACCACACGTTCATATTTTACATTTATGCATGCAAAGTTACCTGTCTAAATGAAGGACTTCAAGCAAAAAAAAAAAAACCAGCTCTTTGCAACAATAGAATCATATAGTGATATAAATAGTAAAAAATAAGATCCAAAGCGAGAAAAAGCGGGTAGAGAGACAAAGTGTTGCTGTAATAATAACACAACTATAAAAACAGGGGAAGAGAGAAAAAAATGGTATTTACGTCTTAAACTTGTTAGACTAGATAAATAAATAAACATTATTGAGATCTAGAGTGTGATTTAAAAAGTATTGCAAGGAGAACATCTAGAAAGTTTATTTTGATGGTATCAATAATTTTCCCTGACACGTTTGCTTGTTACCAAAATTATTATGCGACTAACATTACTTAAGCCATTGCCTAGTCAGCCATAAGGTCCAACCTGGTGGTGTTAGGTTTTCTTTAGATGGGATATGCTTCTCCTCCCGGGCAAGGCCCAGCCCTCAAAATTATGGCCTTGGCCTGAGCTCCCGGGACACCGCGGCTCTAGGTTGGAGGTTGGGTGAGTGCGAGGGTCAGTCAAGTGCGCCCTGCGATTTCCCTTTTGTTTTCTTTTCTTTTACTTATATTTGGAGGGGAATCTATTTGGGCCCGCATAGCTTGATTGGAACCCAAGCGAGGCTTAAGCCAATGCTGGCAAAGCCCGTGCACAATAGAGCGTGATAGTCCTGAATGGTGGAGATTCACAGTAAGACATGTTCATTTATAGACCATCCATCCATGCACAGGTGGTTTTTGGAGTATGTTAATTGTGTTGGCATCCACCATTGCTTCCTCTCAACCCACTAGCCCAAGTAATGTTAATCTCCACTGCTTTCTACTGTGGAGGGATGGTGGATGAGTCTGTGGCCCACCAGTACCATACACCACTTGCATAAGCTTTACTTTAACACCGTTCGGAAGAAGTAAAACAAAAGTTCAATAATGATAGTTAACCAGCCCTTCAGAAAAAGTAAAAACAACAGTTCGGATATGATAGTTTTCAAATACGTGATTGTTCTATAGAGTTTACATGCTATATCTACATGAAGCACCTTAAATTTCGAAAAAGTTAAAGTTAAGGAGTAAAAAAGCACCTTAAATTTCGAAAAAGTTAAAGTTAAGGAGTAAAAAAGTTAAGCCCATGACGTCTTGAATTCTATTCCTGTTAAAAAGAAAGATTAATTTTCTATTTAAAAAAAATTTGAATTATATTCCTGTTAAAAAGAAAGATTATTTTTCTATTTAAAAAAAATTTAGAAAATAACCTAGGTTGTTTTTGGGTAAATAAGAACCTAATTGTATTGGGATCGTACAAACCACCCCTAATTTTGAGACCTCTAATGGTGTGAAGGGAAAGAGATTTTGTTGTGAAGGGAAAGAGATTTACAAGGAGATGGTTCTTGAAATCTTTTATTTGTTTGCCTAACATTATCAAATGAGCCATCCACTCCCTTCTCTCTCTTCAAATTCAAAGGCCCTTTTGACCCCCACTCTCTCTCTCCCTCTCTCTCAAGAAGAATTTAAGCTGTACTTTACATGCCCATCGGGCACATGTTTGTTTGCGAGATAGAGCTTAGAAGTTACACTTGACATTATATATTTTGGAAAAAACCTTTCATGCAGGCTGGACCTCATGACTATATATGCGGTCCAAAAAGCGTAAAGCATCCATCTTAAAGAGGGATTCAAGTGGGTGTTTCATATAAAAACATTGGAAGCTAACGGTCCATTTTTACTTGAATCATTAGTTTTAGTTTTTCAAATCTACTTATTCTTTCATATTCATAATCTCCATGTTAGAGGTTTAAGTCCTTAAAATTACGTACAAAAATCTATCTTAAAAATAAATTAATTAATATGCCCACATTTCTACGTGTGCGGTCTTGGCCAGAAAGAAACCGGGTCCTACACTTTGTAGGAGAAAATCACAAATAGACTCAAATGAAATCAGGGTACGGCACGGGCTTATACATATTAAAAAGTGGAGTGCAGAAATGAGATGAGATATTTGTACTCTGAAAGCAAAGCATGCCATCCAACATGATGAATGTTATCGTAAATCATATCGGATTTTTTGTGCTTATAAAAAGTGGTACAGTTTTCTCTTTGCTGATTTCTAGAATTCTTCAAATTTTGATAGACCATGATATAAATTCCGTGATTTATTTCAAAAAAGAGTAATGACTATCAGGGAGAGGGTGTGTGGTCTGATCCACTGACAAGAGTAACAGAAATGTGAAAGTGTAGACCATATGGATATTTGAGCTAGTCGTGTTTTTATGGCCCACACATGAGAGAGATGGGAAGCTTTAGAGAGAGAATGGCTCTAGGGAGAAAGAAGTGCAAGATATTGCAGAGGAGTGCAGTTCAAAGAGAGAGAGAAAGAGTCAGTTGAACAATTGTTAGAGAGAGAGAGAGTGTCAACCTCATAGGAAAGGTGGTCAAAATATCACTGATAGGCGTCAGTATGTAGAGAGAGAGGGAGAGAGGGGAATGAAGGTTGAAGCATATAAGGAAATACAAGAATTGATTTGACATATCCAACGCAAGCCTAAGAATTCCAGTCCACAAGGCTGAGGTAAGGCACGGGGACAAACAGTCTTTTTACTAAAAACTTCTGCAGTTGATCTCCTGACACTGCAGCTGCAACTGTGCGTGTGGTGAAGGTGATAGCAAGGGACAAAGGGTAAGGCTAGATGTACGCATTAAAGAGAGAGAGAGAGAGAGAGAGAGAGAATTCCACTTCCATTAATACTATGAAATGCACCCAAAGGTCCCTAGTGCGCCAATGTGGTTATAAAGCTAAACCAAGATATAAAAGAGGTTTTTACTGCAATTTTTCTAGGATGGATGGTGCCGATGTAATGCGAAAATGTATGCAACTAAACTATTTACTTTTGATATAAGATCATCAACAGTCGCCTCCTTTTACCAAAAGTAATTTATCTCATGATATATAATATACAATCCCTTTATAACCATTGTGTAAAATGTACAATTTGGGTCTCCGTTTCATATTTTGCAATTTGCATAAACTAAGGAATGAGTACAGTAAGCAAAGAAATGAATACAGCAAAGGGGTATCATGGATAATTATTTGTCTTTAGAAGGTAGTTTGATCATTTCAAACAGTTGTAGGGTATTCTAGAATCAGCAGCGCACATGGATGTGTTCCCCCTTTAAGAACTCTCACCCTAGAGTAGCCCCCATACAAGCGCTATTGACAAAGGTGAAAATAGTACGGTAAAAGTTTTTTCTTTAATAAAAGTATTTAATCAAAGAGAGAGAAAAGGTAAGATAAATATATTTACAGATCATATGAGAAATTACCACAACCATCAATGATATCCGGATTGTATATAATGAGATCATTTATTTTTGTTGTAAGCATGTTTCGATTATCCTTAGACATTAGATGTCAAATTAGATAGCTTGGATTGTGTTACGAAGTTTAAAAAAATTTCTTTTAAACTTTAAGTCTAGTCATTGACACTCTTACAACAATCGGATTTAAAATCCAATGGATAATAGTGATTGTAAGCTCCTTGTATCAAACTAAATAATCACTTTATATATATTCCCAGTTTATTATCCTTATTTAGATTATTGTTGCAAATAAAAAGTTCAAAGAGATAATCACCATTTGATTAATATAGTGATAATTATAAATACCCCCCAATTTTAATTTTCTTCATATCCTACCCCCAATACTTTTGATATTATAACGTAAATCCCAACATTATCTTTTCTTGCATTTACCTTCCGTTAAATAGTCAATAAATTTATAACAAAATTATCCTTTATCTCTATCTTGAAAGAGCTTGGCTTTTAGGGTATACCCTTTATCTCTCTCTACTCACCCTCTTTCATTCTCTTCTCCTTTTTGAAAGGAGAAAAACCTCATAAACAAATGTAAGTCAAGCAGACGAGTACGGAAGAACTAGAGAGAACAAGAGAGGGCAAGTAGAGAGAGAATGGGAGAGTGAGGTAAAAACATGGAGAGAATGAAAGGGCAGGCGGGTAGAGAGAGAAAAAGAGAGGGTGAGTAGAGAAAATGGAAAAGAGAGGGAGAAACATAAAGAGAGGATAGGTAGAGAGATTGGGAGGGAGGGTGGAGAGAAAAAGTGTGAGAACAAAATAATAGCACGTGAATGAAAGTTTGAAAAGGAAAGAAATAGTAAAAAAGGTATTTTTGTCCAAAAGTTGATTGACTATTTGATTGGAAGGTAAACATAAAAAAATATAGTATTGAGATTAAAAATATAATATTGAGATTTATGGTATAATACAAAAAATATTGGAAAGTAAGACGTGTAGAAAATTAAATTTAAGAAGTATCTATAATTTTCCCTTAATATAACAAAAGTTTAGAAGACTAACTACTATTGAAAAACTAAGCTACATAGCTTCAATGAGTTGTACCACAAACGAACGGAATCCAAACAATGTTTTGTAACAATCATCAAACAAATTCAGACAATTCCACAAAGAACATTTTTAATGATTTAAGATATTCAAAATGCACGTCACCTGAGTGAGAGTCCAATATATTTAGCCTAAAATAAAGATTGTCTAACAAATACATTAAAAACGTCACAGAAAATGAATCATTTAATGTGGAAAAATCAAAAGTAACATTTATGGGGAAAAGCATCATCCTGATCAAATATGAAGTCAAAGGGAATGAAACCATATATTCTGAGAACCATAGAGAATTCAATTGCTTTCTAACAGAATATTTCTTGCGCAAATTAAAATGCTAAGTCCAAGTTTCTTTCCACACAGTAGTTTTGGACTAAACAAATATTGTGGGCGTACAATTGATTCTTCTTTGATGAGTGATCATGGTGAGAAATAGAGCAAGGGAGTTTATTCTTCTGACTGGAGAATAAGCATAGAGTATTATTGAGATTTCTCTGATAGAAGAATATGCATAATTTATATAGGTCCACTATCAGCATCGAATTGAATGAGGCAGAAAGAATGCATCACAGATATGATTCAAAGCCATCAATTATATCAGAGAGAATGAGGATCATACTTGAGTGTTAATGGGTAGTTTACATTTTAAGTCTGCAAAAGAAGCCAAGTCACATGGAGAGAAAAAGAGAGAGAGAGAGAGAATTTCCAAAAAGTCTCAATTGTACAACTGAACAGACTAATCATGGTAAATGCACTAATCATCTTACACTTGAGAACTTAAAACAATAGAAAATATAGAAAAAAACTCAAACAAACTTGGTACTGATGCATTTACTTGAAGTGGTAAGTTTACCACAACGAACACACTAAACATTATTATGTTCTTAGTTATTCTTTCCTATTTTTTAGAGGTTGTAACAAGTACAACCACACACAAGAAACAAATAAAGCTGTTTATAACTTCTACATTTACACACAGCATGTGATTCAATGGCGCAAAAGGAAAACAGGAAAACATTGGGATTAGGGTTTATTTTCATGCCCCATCTCACATCCTGTTCTCACCTCTTCTAGTGTTCCCACCTGGACTGGTATTACTCCAAGTGGGTGGGAACCCATTGTTTGGGAAACTATCACTAGAACCCTGGTGATGAGAGAGAGAGTGAGGAGTTAAATTTTGATGAGATAGAGAGGGATGAGAGAGTGACCCACTATTCCCAATTCTCCTGATGAGCAGCTGGTCAGGTGTGAGGATGGGATTGTGCATATCAGGAGAAGCGCAAGCAAATCGAATAAGGTCAGCATTTGCTGCATCCAGTTCCTTTTGTAAACGGTGGACCTGGCGTTGAAGAACTGATATGGCACCAACACAACCATATACAGGGTCTTTCATTCGAGCCTCAGCTTCATAAGCAAGAGAATTCACTGCATCTTCTCTCTGATGAGGGAGAAGCTCATTGAGGAGCTTCGCAACATTGCTTGCACCGAATATTTTGTGAACATTGGCAAACTTTTGGGGCTCTTCGGGGGGGAAGTAGGGAGCAAAGATGCAGCCTGATATGCACTTTCGCCGCAAGAACTTGCAGGCAGCACAAGGGGAGTTTGAGCTTGATGATGCCATGGTTTCTTATGAGAGAGAGAGAGAGAGAGAGAGAGAGAGAGAGAGAAGAAGAAATAAATAAATATTATACTCTAGTTGTCTCTACTACTTACTACTATAGTAGAGTAAGAACGAAGAAAGTAAAGAAAGTAGTAACGAAACAACTAACTT